GACGATGCATTTGCTGCTTCACGATTACGACGATTAAGATCTTCCACATCACCTGTAGGTGGTTCAATGGTATATCCATATGCCAAAAGAGTTTTAACCGTTTCACTCGCTGTATCACGATTGATTTTCTTAATGCTATCATCAACAATCGCATAGGGAATCAAATGCGGACTTCGCTTTTGACGTGGATTCTAAAAAGAAGTGTATTTATTTAAAGAAGAATTCATTTGTTGTGATAGAGCACATGTCAATTCATGTTAGATTAGGCGAAATTCGACAGATGGCAATAATAATAATAATCGATTTATCAGATTTCTTGTAATATAGTACACAGACATCGATGTCAATTGCTAACTTGGATTTCCGACGAGATCTTTATTCTTGTGGTCATTTAATACATTAGAACTCAAAACTCGTGTAACATGATCTGACGCGAAACTCGTGTAATTATAGAATCGAACAAGGTCAGATTACGAATTGTAAATATGTCGCGCCCTGCAGGTTCCTACTTGCAACTGGAGATGTTTCTCGCCTTCTGGTATTAATCGACTGAGTGCATGTCTGATTTCTAGACTGATCGAAAGTTATTCTGACCTATACACCGAGTCAATCGGATCTATTCGAAGTCTAATGAAGGTCAACCTGAAGAATCTGTTATTTAAATAAGTGTCATACTGTACTTACATCAGCTATTCCATATGTAAATCCATCTTTGATTCTTCCAGCTGCCCAAACATTGTGTGTATTCTCTGCTAATGTTTCAATTAGTTCTTCCATTTTTGTTGATAGAACAATATTTGAAAGATCTAATGGTTGTGGTTTGTAACCATTTGATTGAAGGTATGTGTTGGGCAGTTTAACATATTTGAATCGACGATCATCATTTTTGATTTCTACGCCAATATGATAGCCAAGAGCTAACAAACTCCTAGATAAACACGACGGTTAGAAAAAGCAGTTGTCATTCGATATGAATTTACTTTAAATTTTCCAGTGCTGTTGTTGTATGATACTGCTTTTCAGCCATTGGAAGACGATCGAATGATGTTAAACATGGATGAACTTTTTGTGAATCATCTCGAAACTAACGAACGAGAAAGTTCACGATCAAACTCAGATTTGTTTTTTTACAATGTAAGCTTACTTCGCCGAAACGCCAGCCACAGGATATTTTATTCATTGACCACATTTCGTGAATATTCTCAGCTAAGCGATCGCGAACATTTTCCAAATGTGCTGGAAAAGTTATATGAGTAGTTCGTACTGGTTGTGGCGTGAACGCAATATGATGTTGAAATTGGGTTGGACCATCCAAACGATTGCGTTCAATATTACCAAATGAAAAGCATGGCTCGATCGCTACTTTTTGTTTAGCTAGCATTGCTTCATACAATGGAGCGGCTCCCTCCGGCGGTCGATGGATGAAGCGGCCATGTTCAGCACCAAAGATAAATCGACAACTAAATTATCGAGTTTGGCAGGCCTGAAATAAACTTGATGAAAGTAATCCTACCTGACACGAGATGATAGCGAAATTGCGGGATAAAACATTCCAGTTACGTTAAATTCTCTTAGGAGACCTTTAACTGGTAAACCGTTCAATGAAAACCACATTTCGGGAATAGTTAAATCCAGTAAACATCCGATAACATCATTCTTTTTAAATCCAATATGCTGCATATTATCCGTTGGTAACAGAACTCGATTCGATACATCATATGCTCGTCCAGCGAACCAAACATATCGCCCATCGAAACCATATGAGTACGTATTATCACCAATTCCGTTCGATGAGAACCCATCACCATGGCCTGGTGACGGTTGAAAGTCCGTTGTCGCCCAACCGATACGTATGTGTGGTTGAACATGAGTTACTTGTTCAATATGATCAATAACAACTTCGAAATACCATTTTTTATACATTGATTCGCCATCTTCAACTCCCACGAGGATATTTGGACGCATACTAGAAGAGATCGATTTCGGTTTTCGTTCATTTTTATTAGTTAATCGAATGTAGCCTTGAATCTAAGGTTAAGTTCAAGGAATTCATCTCAGATAAATTCTTCATTCAAGATATGGAAAAGCAGAAACGTCCTTTTTCTGGCCATCTTGATAATTTTAATTCATCAACGCTAATCAATAACAGATTTAATAGAGTAATTATCTCTCCTTTTCCTCTCTAAATCTTTTCTCCTATTGTCTGTATACTCTTTCCCTGTCATGGGTCCAATACAGCCTTGACCTTTTCTGAAGCCCATTACAATGTATTTTCTCGAACTATAGCATATCTTAGGACATCGCTTTTGTTTACCATGCTACATGATCGACTAAAGCAGTTTGTAGAAGAAGATCACGTCGTTGTAAAATGTTTTCACAGATCAAATTCTGATTGGCACGAACAGCCACACCATTATTAACACAAAGTGAACAAAGTACATCGAGTACTTTTGGATCACGACCATTGCGATCGAGTAGAGCAATAACTTAAACAAGGCAAATTTTCCTATCAACATGATATTCGTCGTTCGATGAGCTTACTTGCGAGAATATGTGATTCAGTAATCATGTTTAACACTTCAGGACTGTCAACTAGGACACTATGAAGGACATCTAACACACCGCTAGATGCTTCTTGTGATTGTAAACGATTAACAAGCCAATTCAGTCGAGCACTTTGAGCAAAATTTGAACAATTTGTACGATTACCCTTGATCAACGCCGCCAGCACGACATAGAGTTTATTGGTAATATTTTCGATTTTCTCTTCGACACCTTCCAGCAATAATGATTTGTCTCTTCGTTCGCTGAAAAAATTTATTGCAGCAATTAAAATCCGAATCATTCCCTACGAATAAGCCGTTTTAGTCGAAATCATATTTGAATGCATTTCAATTACTTCTTCTTGAAACAAATCTTGTCGATTTTTGAGAGCTTTCAAACGAAGTTGCCGTTCTTCATGATCAATTGCGGGCGATGGTTGAGAAAAGAATCCAATTAAATCTTGTAATAAAGCTTGAACTACATCACTTTTGCTCAAGAGATGATTAGCCGTTTCAGCATCAATGGACATTGGACTGGAAAGGAAAAAACGACGTTTCGACATTAACAACTAACTTGACTTTCGTTCTTACTCAGTTCGATTGAATCTTCCGAGAATAGCATTACAAATTCGAATGACTAGAGCCGTTTTTTGTTCTTGCTCTTGAGCTCGCACAAGACGAAAACAATCATCCATATGACCTTCAACTGCTGGGATAATCTAATCAAATAAAACAGCGACATTGGTTTCCATGAAGACAATCAATGCTTGAAAGGAATCTTCTTACTCGTTTTTCTTCCACTTTACCAATTCCTTTTATAGTTAATTCTAACGTTTCATAACTAATCCAAAGATCCGAATCAACATGACGAATAAAAACAATTGTATCACCATATTTTATCGTTGGTACACCGAGATTTTCTTGTTCGCTTACTTCTTCTGCTTGTTTTTCCTAATTAATTCAATATTAGTCAAATTCTCCGCTCTAATGGCATTGTAACATACTTTTGACATTTTCATTTCGAATGTCACGGCAATTGCACTTGCATTCTTCTTCGATATACAGGTTACTTTAGGACCTGAAATTCCATTTTCAAAAAACACATCTTTTTCTCGAGCTTGTTCCTACCATTTTCATCACCGATAACAGCTAAATAAAGGCCGGAGGTTACATGGCGAAGGCGAATCAATGAACTCCAACCAACAAATCCACTGTACCATCTAAACACATTGACTGTGTGACTCAAGAACGAGTTCAAGCGATGTTTACTTTATTTTAAAACATTCAATTCGCCATAACGATCGAGCTTGCTGACACGAAGCACCACTTTTAATGAAGAGACTAAAACAAATCAATTGATTAATATCCGGTGACGAAATATTATTTTATCGATCGACGTATTAGGCTCTTGTGTATTCAACTATTTATTTATTCAATCAGTGACCTTCATCCTATTAGTATTACGATTATTAATATGTGACAATTGGCGAATAAACTCGAAAGATTCTTCTCTTCTCTTTTGTCATGCCCAGCGCTTTGACTTGATTCTGGTGAAAGATTTCTCGAGAGATTTCTAACGCAATCTACAATCATTTTGATCAATCGATATTCGAACGAACAATAACAATAACAACAAAACATATCTTTACCTTCCCGAATCATCAATAACTTGAGAATCTGGTGGTGGTGTCGTTATACAATGATCCATATTGCCATGCATGATGCGGATTACGTCACCACCAAGAACAAATCCAGGATTCTTTACACGTGCTACACCACTTGAAATCGGTACTAAACTCCATACTTGTTGACGAAATGATGCATTGACTCCACCACGTTCATTGGTATACATATACGCATGCTAGAAATCAATTGGAAAAGACTGGATTTCGAAGAAAGTTGTCATACAAGATATCGTTCCGAGAAGACTGAAACCAGGATGACATCATCATTGAAGCGCACTTTTTCACCTTCACTTCTTTGTTTTGATGCTGGATGAATAGTCCACCAACAAGATTCGCCTGCAAATTACATAATAGACATGAGAAAAAAAGAAGATATCTGCGCTGTGTTTATCTTCACAAACCTTGTGCATCTTCTTTTAAGCCTACATCAAACGCGAGNCATTCATTTCCGTCTGATAATGACGAGTGCAAACAAAATACTTCATGCACATTTATCTCTTGAGAGCAGCTTGTGAACACACACCATCTCATTTCGTGAAAATATTGATTTGAAAGAAAAAGAAAAACCAAAAAAAAGTCGCAATCAATGCGTGCTTTTTTTCATTCATTTTGTTGTTAAATATTGATTGATTTCAATCGCTCCTTTTGATTGACAGAATAAATATAAGTAAATGTCAGAAAAGCGGATTTTTTTCTATTTTATATTAGCAACATATCCGGTTTCCTTGTGATTATCCGAAGAGGTCGCTAGAATCTTTGTCATTAATTTGATTTAGCTTTGATTATTCTTCTGAATACGTTGAATTAGTTCAATAAATGCAGCATAACTCATTGTTAACAGATTCATATAAGCTTTTTCCGATGATAGATTTGAATTGCCCAATTGTTGTTGATTTTGTAAAGAAAACGAATTCAAACGTGTCTGTGATATAAGATATGAAAAGTAATCCAAAAGATCTCGATTATCTTCGATTTGTAACGTTGTTAATGTTTTGACAAGTTTCTCATAATCACCTGTTTGTATCGCTATGGTCCTCCAATACTTCGGAATGTAAAACACTTCATTAGGTTCATTTCCTTTCATCAATGTCAGCTGAATATCACTTTGTTCTAATTCCCGATCGCTATCGTCCATTTGCCATACTGTCGATGTTTTCTCGATTTGAATGTACTCTAGGCGATTATATTCTTCGTTAACAATCATTTGCAGGTATTTGCTGATTTTTTCACTGGTTATTTCATCGAGCCGTGTCAAGATTTTATCCGGTAGATTTACTTGTGGAAACTTCATTTGAAAAATCGACCAATGTTGAACAGACGTCAATGATTGTTCTCTCTGTCGATTCCTTATTTCAATTTCGATTTTACACGGATTAGATTTTTCCAAATAGTGAACCTTTAAGCAAATATCCATACTTTCCAACGGATAGTACACGTCCACAATCGATGATTGTTTCGAATGTTTTTCATCAATAATGGCTAACATGCTTAGTTTAGTGTTTAGTGTAAACGGTGAAATGGAAGACACATTTTCTGATTGAATATTCATATTATCTGACGTCAATGGGTAAAACAACCTCCATTGAAAATATTCTTTTTCAGACATATTTTGTTCGGTAATCATAAGGAAGAAATAAGAAGAGCGCAAAATTTTTCTCATTTATTCAAACGAATGTTTGTCGTAAAAATGCTTATCAATAATAAATAATGTTTATTTTCAATAATTCAGTAGAAAATATCCATCGACAATTTCAAGGTGATTGCGTCATGGAAAAACTTTCAACGAAAGACCGACGATCACGCTGTTTTTTACTCTTTCTCTCTCCCACTTCTTTTTCCTTTTCTTCTAAAATGCTTATCAATCGCCAATTGCAAGTAATTTCACTAATATTCGACATACACAGTACGTATCATACATTCATTTCTTTTTCGGTATGTATCGACTTGTGTAGGATGAATCAATGTTTGCCTTGTCAAAAGAAACACAACTTGGACATTTATCATACGTATTTTTTAGTTATTTTCGGTGATAAGTGTGTGTAGAAGAGAACGCCGACGAAAGCAAAACTATGGGCAATGTGAACGCGGCGATTTGTAGAGCGTAATAAATTTCTTGTTTTTTTCTTGTGTGAACTTGAGAACTAATCGACTGATTTCAATTTTACAGAGTCGATGCAATAACTGACGCTATTCCAAATGCAATTCGTCCAAAGAAAAAGTCAAAGCATGTCAATGCCCTACTAATCGTTGATGTACAGTATGATTTCATTGATGGATCGTTAGCTCTGAAGAATTGTCCCAGTCAACACCAAGGAGAGCAAGTCATACCTGTAATAAATAAATTATTGGATGAAATCAAATTTGATGTCGTTGTTTATACACAAGACTGGCATACACCTGATCATATTTCGTTCTATGATAATCTACCTTTACGAGCACATCTACTAGCAAAAGATTCAAAGTCAATGGAGGAATTGAAAGTATTCGATACAGCAATATTTGTATTCGATAACGAACGTCAATCTCGTGTAGAACAAATCCTGTGGCCTGTACATTGTGTACAGCATACGCATGGTGCTGAGCTACACCAAGACCTATCAATTGTGAAATCAAATAAAAATCGTCAAGTAATCAACCTGTTCAAAGGTTATGACAGTGATATTGATTCATACTCCGCATTTTGGGATAACATGAAAATACGTGAAACAACTTTACACTCCCGACTGAAAGGATATAACGTTCAACAAGTATTTATCGTTGGTATTGCAACGGATGTGTGTGTCTTTGCAACCGCGTTGCATGCACTTGAAAATGGTTATAAAACTCATATTATAAAAGATGCATGCCGTGGTGTGGATGAAAACAATATAAATCTACGTCTTAATGAACTGATCGCTCATGGTTGTTCCATGATACAGACAGCGGATGTGAAAAGCTTGATTTAAACTCATAAAGGAAACGAAAAAAAAACAGTTATTTTATTTCATTTAAAGTATTTCGTGCGTAAATAAGTGGCAAAAACAGAATTATTAGAGTGATTAAGAGTAAATGAGGCGATAAGATGAGGGGCAAATGAAGGGGTTAGAGAGATCCAAAGAATAATGAATGAATGAAAAAAAAAGAGGAAAACGATTACATAATAAGACAGCCAGCATGTTTGTTGATGAGGCGATGACCTGATTGATAATTTTGAAGAAATTCTAATTGACGAATATTGAATGAACCACGGCGACGTGAGCGGACGAAATCGATAGATTCTTGTCGGCTCATTCCAGCTTCACGTAAGGCCATTGCAACAAGAACAGGCGAGCTAGATGAACAATCGACAAGAATATTTTATGAGTCCGAAAGGTAAGAAGAAATCACTTACCGTCCAAGCCCATGAACACAATGAACGAGAATACAACCGTGTTTGTTTTCTTTGACAATATTTAACCATTTATCACGAACGATTGAATCAGGTGCACTGCCGTCAGGATATTCAAGATTCTGAAAGACAAAAATATTCTTTTAAATCTGATTTCTTCTTCGAAATCGATACGCACGTAAACTTTAATGCCGGCTGCTTCAATTGGTTTCGTATCGTAAGTTTTTTCGGAGACACGAACTAATGTTGTAACATCATATTTCAAACAAGTCTATATACACAAACAATAAATGTAAAGATCCGACCATCGTCTTATTGGCAAACACTTACTTCAATGAAGGTTTGAAGATTTTCGTCGGCTGGGCTGTCCGTGATTAAGAAACGTAAATGTTTATAACGAAGCTCTGTCATCGATGGATTGATTAAATGTGAAGGCATGATTATACTTGATAAAAGTTTGTTCCTTGTGAAGAAAAAACGCTTGTTTTCTATTGAATCTCTATTTAGTCTCTAATTTTCGTGGAAATAAGACGCCAATCGAATTTGTTGGAACGGTATCGATACGGATAATATCGATAGGGAAAAGATTGAAGGTGTTGGCGTACTAGTCAATATTGCGCTCGGCAGAATTCGCCCGAGAGCGTGCAGTCTTGCACGTATTCGGTCTGAAAAATAATCAATATTGGAGCATTTCAATTTCAATTATGAACTCGATCTCTTACCGCTTGGTTAGGCGTATATTTACCGTCAACAGTTGTACTCATCGAATAATCGCAAAACGTGATCGCCAGAACTCCCAAACAGAAGTTGGACAGAATGAATATAATCTTAAAAAAGCAAAGTTAGACAGACTGATCGTATGTCACAAATGAAAAATATAATGAAAAAAAGAAACGAAGCACTTGTAATACTTGTGCACACCCACGTATATGTATGTGCATATGTACGTTTCAAGGCTTGAATGCATGTTCGACGTTATCGGAGAAAAGAAAAATCGCAAACATTTCGACGACGTCGACGAAAAAAAAGAAAGCAATGGAATAGATTTAATCGTTTTATGTGTATATGGACTTTCATAGCTGTATAAGGGAAAAAAGAAAACATGTTACTTGCAAATGACGTCAGAATAAACTTTAGACGAAATTTGAAATAACATCACGAGCTATCAGCAATACTATGTACTTTTTTTTAATGATCCCACCAGTGAGATTTCGCTATTAATTAGTTTAGTAAAAAAAAAAAGAAAGGTTAGCATTCGCCAATAAAAAAAGAATATTATTCTTATCGGTTCGCTACAGATGCGACAAGCAAATCAAGTCGAAGGCTTAGATTCTCTCATTTTTTTTTGGAGTGTATATATGCCTTTGAGTGCATACGATTCTTCGATGTTAAGCGAAAGAAAGAGAAAGAAAAGAGAGCGAGAGAGAAAAAAGAACACTGTAGCGATTACTCTCGTATCAGTAGCAAATCCAGAAAGCATCCAAACAGAATCGATGTATGTATTGCTAGATAACTATATTCTCATGTGAAAGTGCGTGAGACGCTGAAGAACAAATGAAAAGAAAAGCACAAAGGTCTAGATGACAAATTCGAGTAGAAAATAATCATTTGTTGCTCTCATCTACACAGATGAGAAAAACTCGACGACATGTTTGACGTCAATGTCACAATTAATGGATCAATTCAGAAGAAAAAATCTACGCAATAAACACGTAAATCAATGATTGAAATCAATCGACTACTACTCGAAAAACAAAACAAAATGAGATTTCTGCTGTCTATAAATACAATGCCGGCGCAATCTCGTCATAATGCAATCAACTACTGAATCATTCGATAAGACTGTGTGCTGAATTAGTCAGATAAATCCATTCGAAAACATGACGTCAGGTCCTATCTGATTAGATCACATTTGTATTAGTCGGGATACAAAAAACGACACTTCTAGTTTGAGTTTTGAGTACTTCTCATTCTTTCCTTAAGAAATAAATCGATGTAAAATGCTGAATATGGGCTTTTCTTTTCAGCGAAGTCTAAGAATTGTTCTTGAGATGACGGCTCGACTAGCCTGCTCGAAAAGCAATTAGGTACTTATCAATCACAATCTTGTGCTATCTGGCAATAGATCCTCTATTCTTTAATAAAAACTTTCTATCCAAAATCAAGATAAATATTCAGTAATCATCGTACACATTGATAAAAGCCAACATGATAACATGCAAATGACTGATGAAACAAAGTCCACAAACACGATGATAAACATAATTTTCTATCCTAACCTATTCATCAAGTAACCATTGGCTGTCGTTTACAAACATCTGTAAATATTTTGCAATCATTTCTAAGTCGGAAGGAGTAGGAAAACCATCTCGTTCTGGTAAACAAAAAACGCAGTATAACTTCAACCTTACAGTGAACCAAAGTTCAAGCTCGGAGTCGGATGGCGAGGTGTCAGTCATGCGAATTGACGGTAGATTAGTTTTAAAGATCCGAGAGAAAACATCCCAGTTTAATTTCCGATTCGAGTCACAAGCACAAAATGAGCCATGATGGCTGAAAGGAGAAAATATGAACTTTCAAACAACAATATGCTGATTGGATGAAATTATTGACAAATAGGAATGAAGCTTAGATATTAAATATCGAAAAGAAAAAGGCGAAAATTGAATAGTATGCAACGAGAAATTGATTTTCTAATTGAAATTTTCACTAATAAAGCTTTATCTATTTCTGAAATACTTTATCATTGGTCAATGCCCTTGCTCTTTTTTGTTCTTTGTCTGCGAATGTCTTGATGAAAGAAGAGAGAGAGCGGGAATATGTCGTCTGTGTGTTAAATATCCCAATTAGATTTTCGTACCAATGGAAGATATTCATAAAACTCAAAATGACGAATCATCATCAGAAGATTGGAGTAAATCATCTTGATTTATCTCGTTCTATGAATTGAACTTTTTTTTTCTCTTTAGCAATCACATTTTGTGTTATTGGAAAAGCGTGTTCCAATACGCGTTTACTTGCCGCACTCGAAGATCGTTATGCGTATGAACGTTTTACTGATGATGAACATGTTCTTCGGACCTTGTCCGAAACGAAACAATTGTTAACAAAACGTCAATTGAGAATTTATGTTGTGCAATCGTTTGATGAAAATCTGTTTTATAGTTTAAAAGAGGATGAAAACATTTACATAATTAGTGCCGAGCTTGTCTTAACATGTGCAGAAAAGAAAATCGTAGGGTTGAATTAACTTCATCTAAGAAACTATGATCGCATTGTTTTCAGGATATTCCAGTACCACGGAGAAATCGTCCATTGTATTCTCAACATTTGGCATCGGCAGTGATTTGTTTTGTGGGTGGTACTCGTCGTGAAATACATGTAAATCATTTCGTTATCTTGTAATTCGATTTGAATTTGCATTTTCTAGACGAAGTTTAGTGATATTGTACATTACCTTGGCGGATCAGTTCGAAAAGACTACAGCGATCAAGTGACACATGTAGTATCGTTTGCGAATTTAGGCGAAAAATATCTGGTAAGAGTTGAATCATTCCATCATGTAAAATTACTGATATGTTTGCGTAGACGGCGTTTAATATGGAACGAAGCGAAATTCTAACAGAAGAATGGCTATTGGAATGTTGGAAGGAAAAGGATAGTCGAAATTTTGATGCATTGAACGCAGATTTTATTCGAACGTATCGTGCTAAACCGCTGCATAATTTGAATCTCTTCTTTTTTGGTGCTGCTGATGATATAGAACAAAGACACTTACGCACCCTTGTTCTTGCTAATGGTAAGAATTGCACCTGATTCTATTGCCTCTTGAAAAACATACATGGCATTAGTGTTGATACGATAAGCTTGGGAAATCTACAATACGTGTGTGTAAATCTGACAGCAAAGTACTTAGGAATATGTTCTAGGGCGTAAATTCCGTCTGAGTGAATTCAGATCGCTTTCAAAAGTACTATATAATAGATGAGTTTTACTAGGAACATCTGATTACATGAGGACTAGCAATGTCACATAGAAATCTGCCTTTTGATTTAGGTGGCTATACAACAAATGAAATATCTGATGCTATACATATCGTCTTTTGCAATGGGATGGATGCGAATACTTTTCTCTCCGCTTTTCCCTCGTACAAACGGAAACATCGTCAACATATGGTCAATGTTCAAGTAATGACGATATTTTTTTTGGAATTATTTTTTGCTACAGAAACTTTGTTTTCTAGTGGTTTTGGGAATGTTTATGCTTAATGGGTAAAGCCGATGAATCAAGTTACTCAATCAAATTACCTGGTATGAATGAAACAACAACGCCCGATTCTCCTCGATCAACGTTACTTTCGCTCTCAACCTTATCACCATTGTCAACGTCGATAAATGATTCGAATTATATGCAGCAGCATAATGCAACTACATCAGTGAAACGAAAACGACGAAAAGAATCGAATTCCAATATAGAGATGAACACTACACCGAACAATAAGCGATTTAATAGTAGCAACGAGAATGAAAATGGTCTTGGTGATGAAATGTCAACAGAAAATTTTGAGAAACAAAAAACACCGAATATGAAAAAAGATAATAAGTATTTAATCAGCATGGAAATTCGAGAAACAGAAAGAAACTATGTTACAATGCTATCGAATATCATTCGTGTGAGTAGTAAAATGATAATACTAAGAACTACTAAATTCTATAATTTAATTTTGACAGTTCTTCAAAACAGAAATGGAAAAAGATGATCGTCGAAACGGACCTATCTTAACCAAAGTTGAAAGTGCACAAATATTCGGTAATATCGAAGAAATTTATCATTTACATCTGACCATTGCTGAACAACTTGACCGAGCACTCAATGAAGATGCCTGTATTGGTTCGGTTTTCTTAGCTAATGTAAGTTAAGTCCATTCTTCTAAGTTTCACATAACTATTGATGATAGTCTTCATTGGAGATTAATGAATTAGTTCTACTTGCGCTTCATTTACCTTTGATAACCTTCGAACCTACAAAAAAAAACAACGTTGAATTACTTTATTTCTATGTTTTCAGGCAACTGAACTCTTACGTGTTTATCAACCTTATACAAAATTCTATGATAAAACTATTCAAGCAATTCATTCACTTGAAAAAAGCAATTCACGTTTCTATGCTTATTTGAAAGTAATCGTTAAAAATCTCAAAACGTGACTTCTTTTTCATCATCGGATGTTATTCTTCTCCTCTAGATCTGTGAACACAAATCAGAATTAGGCAAACAACATCTCGCTGATCTAATGATTCGACCGATTCAGCGTTTACCAAGTGTTTTATTGCTTTTAGAACGTTTACTTAAATACACACCAACGACATATGCAGATCATCAACAATTAACAAATGCTATTGATAAACTACGTGAAGTAGCAAAGAAATTAAATGAAGAA